TGAGAGTGTGATGCCATCTCTGGTTGGGTCAGAGGTGCTAATTTTCTGGGGGCATGGTGCCATGGATAAGAGGGGTTCTACCATTCAGGTAACGTTATAGGAGTCACAACAATCTATCCTTTTCTTGCCCATGCTTAGTTCATAAGAGACTTCACCTCCCTGCGTCCCATTTTGTTCCCTGCCCATTACATATGGATATTTTTTCCTTTACTGCAGAAATGCAGCTCTTTCCTCTCAGAGGAAATAAGCAGCCAGGGGGACAAAAACAGGAAGAAAGGAATCAACTTCCTGCTTGCCTTGGAGACATCCCTGATCAACTCTGTGTACACCAACACTAAGCAGTGCAAACTGGCTGGGGAATCAGCAGCCAATGCCAAGGCTTGTACTGGGAATGCCCCTGGTCTTCCTGGCCCTGGCCAGTACTCATTAATACAGAAATACTCATATACTTCACACTATGTAATGAAAAAAAATTAGCCAATAAATATTAGGGCTGTCAATCGCAGTTAACTCACACAATTAACTCAAAAAAATTAATCGTAATTAATTGCAGTTTTAATCGCACTGTTAAACAATAGAATATCAACTGAAATTTATTAAATATTTTGGATGTTTTTCTACATTTTCAAATGTATTGATTTCAGTTACAATACAGAATACAAAGTGTATAGTGCTCACTTTATATTATTTTTATTACAAATATTTGCACTGTAAAAATGATAAACAAAAAAACAGTATTTTTCAATTCACCTCATACAAGTATCGTAGTGCAATCTCTTTATTGTGAAAGCACATCTTACAAATGTAGGTTTTTTTGGTTATATAACTGCACTCAAAAGCAAAACGATGTAAAAAACGTTACAGCCTACAAGTCCACTCAGTCCTACTTCTTGTTCAGCCAATCGCTAAGAGAAACAAGTTTGTTTTACATTTACGGGAGATAATGCTGCCCGCTTCTTATTTACAAGATCACCTGAAACTGAGAACAGACATTCACCTGGCACTTTTTTAGATGGCATTGCAAGATATTTAAGTAACAGATATGCTAAAAAATTGTATGCCCCTTCAAGCTTTGACCACCATTCCAGAGGACATGCTTGCATGCTGATTACACTAGTTAAAAAATAATGCGTTAATTAAATTTGTAACTGAACTCCTTGGGAGAGAATTGTATGTCTCCTACTGTTTTTTACCCTCACTCTGCCATATATTTCATGTTATAGCCGTCTCAGATGATGACCCACCATGTTGTTTGTTTTAAGAACACTTTCACCGCAGATATGACAAAACGCAAAGAAGGTACTAATGTGACATTTCTAAAGATAGCTACAGCACTCGGTCCAAGATTTAAGAATCTGAAGTGTCTTCCAAAATCTGAGGGGGACGAGGTGTGGAACATGCTTTCAGAAGTCTTAAAAGAGCAACACTACGATGCTGAAACTAAACGACCAAAAAAAAGAAAAATCAACATTCTGCTGGTGGCATCTGACTCAGATGATGAAAATGAACATGCATTGGGCTGTACTGCTTTGGATCATTATCGAGCAGAACCCATCATCAGCATGGATTCATGTCCTCTGGAATGGTGATTTAAGCATGAAGGGAAATATGAATCTTTAACGCATCTGGCACGTAAATATCTTGCAACACCAGCTACAATAATGCCATGCAAACGCCTGTTCTCACTCTCAAGTGACATTGTAAACAAGAAAGGGGAGCATTATCTCCTGCAAATGTAAACAAACTTGTTTGTCTGAGCGACTGGCTGAACAAGAAGTAGGACCAAGGGGACTTGTTCGCTCTAAAGTTTTCCATTGTTTTATTTTTGAATGCAGTTATTTTTGCAAGTTACATAATTCTATATTTGTAAATTCAAGTTTCATGATAAAGAGATTGCACTACAATACTTGTATTAAGTGAATTGAAAAAATACTATTTTTACAGTGCAAATAGTCATAATAAAAAGTAAAGTGAGCACTGTACACTTTGTATTCTGTGTTGTAATAGAAATCAATATATTTGAAAACGTGGAAAACATCCAAAAATATTTATATAAATAGTATTCTATTATTGTTTAATTGCATGATTAATCGTGATTAATTTTTTTAATCACTTGACAGCCCTAACAAGGTCGCAACAACTTCTCACACAGTTCTTTCCCACTCGCCTCACACAATCCTCGCTTCTACAAATCTCGCATTATTAGGGTTACAGCTAGCCTGACTTGTGCTCACAGAAGAGACTGTATGCATTGCAATCCCCTTCAAATCCCTGTCAGTTCTTGCTCTACTTCCACACCACAGAAGGCCCCACTTGCATGCTGTGTGTCCAGCAGCTGGGGCAGAGAAGGTAGAGTAGCTATCGACTCCAGGAGCATGAAGGGAATAGACATCAAAGAAGGGGAAGAATTATTTAGGATTATGCACTGGGAACAACCAGCTGTAATGGGGATACGAATCTTCAGACTGGACATCAGGGAAACTTCCTGACACGGAGAAATATCAAGCTGTGGAGTCGGCTCCCCAAGGAAAGGCTGGAGGTCCCTTTGCTTGACTACTTAGACTTACTTTGGAAATTTTCTGCCTAATGGGGGATGATAGCATGCAATGGATTCTGCCCCACACAGTATATTTTGCCCTTCACCGGACTCAGGCAGGTTAGTGCAAATTAATTTCTCATGACTCCCATGTCCCAAGGCCACGAGCATGCCATCTAGGGGACTTACACATTTGAGTGCCGTTAGCTGTGTGCCATTTGTGTAGAGTGCCAGTAGCATGAAAATATTCTCATCTCAATGATATTGTCTGCAATCTATGGAGAGAAACAGTGCAAGGACTGGACTAGTGAGCTGATGGGGCCTGTCCCACTCACGTTTCAGTGACTCTGAGAATATTATCAATAGCCAAGGGCTCCTCAAGGCTGCTGTCCGAGCAGCCAGGCTGCATTTGGTGACAAACACGTTTCTTCCTGAATCCAAGATCCATCTGAAGATCTTAGGCTCCATCCTCAGCTAGACTGAGTTTACACTTGCCACCCCGAGGAGAACAGGGAAAGGGGGTGACTCAAAACTATCTTTCTGCCTCCCCAGTCCTGGGCTGGCTAAAAGCCAAGATAGCTCCCAGTGTAACTTAGAGCAGCCTCAGGTGTCTGTGCTTCAAGCTATGGGCTCCACCAAGCCCTGTGTCAGGCATTATCCTCAGCTGCCTTGCTAGAGCAGCTAGCAGAAAGGATGCGGATTGAGCCTTTTCCTTCCTGATCGTGGTCCATGAGGCAGAGTGAGGAGCTGGACTGCCCTTGTGACACCCCCACATACTAGTGGGGATTACGTTGCGAGGCAGAGCTGTTGCTGGTACTGGGCCAGCAGGGCCTGTGACAGGAAGAGAAAACAAGGAGCCAGCAGGGGACAGGTCCTCTGAGTAGGACCATTGAAGCTCCCTAACTATCCTAGCTTCTGCCCAAGCAGAACCCAATATGCACCCAGTGAGCTGAACCTGTTTGAAAGGTAGAGTCCCGAGGGATGCACATGTGCATGCAGGATAAGACCGATTTTTGAGGGGAGGATGTCTTAGCACAGAGCCAGGTTACTGCCTGCTGATCACTTGCCTTGAAACCCCACAACATATCCATGGGTCACTAAGCAGGACGGACACTAACTCCAGCCCAAGTGTGCAGTCCAGGCTTGCTCACAGCTACACTCAGGCACTCCTGGGAACAGGGGCTGCCTGCCATCTCTCACACTAGTGTCCACCAGGGGCTCTTGCCAGCTGAGGGAGATGCACTAGACTAATCCCACCAAAACTATTTGGGGGATGTGCACATCACAGTATAGAATCTGTTGAGATTTCCCCATTGAGCCCTTCCCCACAACTGTGAACATGTCCGGGAACTGTCATACATCCCCTCCTCTCTCCAGGCCAAATTCCAAATAAAAGAACGTTACTGGCTGCACCCAGGAGCAGATCTACAGCCTTAGTGCAACTGCAAACTCCAGCACTCCCAAGTGTGGGTCCCACTCCCACAGCAAGTAGCAAAGGACCTTAATGCCTGAATTCACTTCCCCCACCATCCTGCTCCAGTCAGTGCTTTCCACACGGAATTTGCTTCACCACCACCACCTCACTTTCCTCTGGGATCATCCCCAGGGCCCAAGAGGAAATGAAGCCAGACTGGATGCCTGCAACAAGTATCAACCATTGAATTTCCATCTCCAGGCTGCGTGGCTGGACAGACCCCGGGTCTGCTAGGGCTCAGGCTCCGCTCTCAGCGCACCAGATCCCAGCCCAAGCTGTTTACCCGGTTTTAGGTTACAAAGAGCGGTGGGCTCAGCTGCCTTCTGGCTCTGTCGGATCAGTAACGGTTTGGCGGCAGTAACTCGACTCTGGCTCTCGGGCCCGGCCTTTGGGGTTACAAACTCACACGTACATCAGCACCGTCCCGTCCCCCAGCCCGGACAGCCTGCACCCCACCCCGCGGACAGGAGCGCCCAGTCCCTCAGCGACCCAGGAGACTCCGGTCTCTAGGCCAAGCCAAGCCGGAGCTGAGTGCTGAGGGAGCTCGCCCCACCCGAGGGCGCGGGGCCCGCGAGCAGCCGCCTGCCCCACACAGCCCCCAGGGAACCCGCCAGCCGGGGGCTCCCGGGCGGGGTGCGGCGCCGTCTCGGGCCGCCCTCCCGGCAGGTGGCCGGCAGCAGAGCCCGCAACTCACGTGCGCGCCAGGCCGAGGGGCGGCGGTGGCGAGCCCTGCCCTCGCTGGAGCCGGGCTGAGGCGGCTCCTCGGGGCAGCACCGAGCCCGGCGCCCGAACGGCTGCCCACGCGGCGAAGCTGGGTCCGGGGCTGTTGCCGTGCCGAGGCGCCTCTCCCTCCCTGGGCCCAGCGGCCGGCCCGCGGCCGCACCCCCTGCACCCCTCCGAGGGCCCCGGGGCCGCTCCCCCGCGGCGGCGCCCGCCCGGCCCCCCGCGCCGGCCCCCGCCCGGCATCCAGCGCCGGGCAGCCACACTCACCGGGCAGCCGTCTGGGCTCCGCGCGGGGCCCGCCCGGCAGCGAGCGATAGATCCAGCGATCGGGCCGCCCCGGTGCGGCTAAGGGGCCCCCGCTCGCAAACTCGCCCAGAGCAGGCAGCGCAGACTCCGCCCCCGTGCCAGGGGCCGGCCGGCCGGCAACGCCATTCACAGCCCGAGCATGCAAATCGGAGCTGCGAGCCGCGCCGCGCTCAGCAGCCGGCGCCCGGCAAAGGAACTGCTGCGTGCGCCCGCGGCTCCGCCACGCACCCCCGTGCCCTTCCCGCTGGGGTGGTGGCCGCCCGGCCGCGGCGCGCTATCTGCGCTGAGTCACGGCGCAGGAATGCTGCTGGTGGCGGTGCGGGACAGCTGTCCCCCCTGAGCCCAACGGAAGCGGCTCAGCCGGGCAGCCCCTCACACAGCCAGGGAGATGCCCCCTGCTTTCAGCCGGCCGTTCCGGTAGACCGTGGGGAACTCCCGGTCCAGAAATGTCCACACTTGCGGTTATTCCGGAACAGTTGCTCCACTTCAGCTTCACACCCTCATTTAGTACAGAGTAACTTTCATTGTGCAGGCAAGCCTTAAATAGTCCCGGTGCTCCCTTCTCCTCTTCCCCTTGCCCAGTGTTATTCCACCCTATGCCTTGGAGATCTGCCCAGTGTACCCCCTACAAGACCTCTGCGTATGGTGTACCCCCCGTTGAGAACCACTAGACTAGAGGATGCGAAATGTGCCCCAGAACCAGAAGATGTGAAAGGTCCAGAGGTAGCAAATTCTCCTGGGTAAGTAAAGGCCATCCTTACACAGTGGTAACTGCTACTGTTGGGAAAATGTGCCAGTTGCCGTTCGTGCCACTACACTGGCAGTGCTTCAAAAAGCCCTGTATAGCTTTAGAGAAGGGGCACTGAGCTCAGTGAGGAGTTTCATCAAGGACTGTTCTTATTACATCAGTGCACTTCACAATTTGGATTAACCCAAGCCTCATCCCTTGATTTTGGGGGAGCAGCTATCATTCAGTCCTTTCACAGATCCTGCTACGGTCTCTATACCTAATATGCATTGTCTTTTGAGCTTCTACCACTCAAGCTAAATTACCACTACCACTCAAGCTAAACTTTTACATCAAGAGGCTTTTACGTCCAAGAGGCTTATTCCCTGTGGACAACTCAGTCAGGGGCTTTGTTACACTCGTCTGTGCTGTAACTAACCATTAGATCAGGCTCTGCTCTCAGAGCCAAGGAAAGAACCCAGGAATACCCAGCATTCTAGTGGTAGTTCACAAATAGCTGTGTAACCTGCAGATAAAGTGATGCTGAAGCTGGTATGGGCTGCTTCTCATCAAGGACAAAAATATGCTTTCCCTCATCCCACCTGAACAGCCTGAGTTCCAATACTGCTCAAGAAGTATATGCAAATTAGTGTGAGGCCCTTGGGAAAACTGTTTAAATCATTTTGTATTGCAAAATACTGTACTAAGAGATGAATGTGGATGTTGTGTCTATTTTAGTGTTGCATATTTAGGGTTTGTGTTTCGGTTAATGGGAGCTGCCCCTTTCAGCATGGGGTGAGACACACAAGGGTTGTGTGAAAGAGGCCACACACAGTGTGGGGGACATGTTGCTTGTGTGAACTTGGAAGAGGTCAGAACTAGATTTAATAAACTTATCTTCTCAGAAAATAACCTCCCTCTTGAGGGTGTCTTATTAGCACTTATAGGCGCTGGATGCCTCAGGATGATACTAATAGGCTTCAGTGCCTTTTCCCTGTAGGTCAGCAGTCCAAAAGCAGCCCAGTTAAGCTGGAATTAAGTTGTTCCTCTCTAATGGGCATTTGGTAGCCTTGATGCAAGATAAATTTGGGATGAGAGTATCTCATCTCCAGCTCCCACATGACACTCTTACCCCCACACTTTGAACTAATTGGCAGAGAGGCCAAGAACTGGAATGACCACAGAGACTGACTTATCCCATAACCTAGGCTGGCAGGGTAGTGAGTGGGGGAAGCTCACCCTAGTACTGCTCTGTAAATAAATTGAAGGTTTCATTCACCAGGGCTGCCTTTTTCACCTGTAAGAAATCCACACCATTTTTTAAAATGTGTATTTACTATTATATGCAAATTATTCCATTTTATAATGTGAATGAATGTCACATGGAGCTGCACAAAATTTGGCAGCTATGTCCTTCACACTCTGTTTCATAGTTGTCCTATTTCCAATTCTCCAGCCTCTGTTACCTGCCCACTGTTATCCACCCCTCAGCAATTCATATTCTGGGGCCCTTGTTTTTCTTCCCTCCATTTCTTGGCACTTCATGAACACTTTCTCTACTCACCCTATGCTGGCCCTGCCATTAGCCTACCCTCTGGTCCCAATTTTCCAGCACTATGCTATTTTTTTCCCTCTTGTTTTAAATTTATACCATTTTTATTCTGCATTTCTCCCACCCCACCTTCAGAATTGCTGCCTTGTTTGCAGCATTACTGCTTCCTGCTTTTCACCTTAATGATCTGAATTACAAAATGCAGTTGAGAAAGGAGGAGTGTGGGGGCTGCCCAGGAACTACACTCCCAAGGAAGAATTAGCTCATCTGCACCACACCCACCCCAACACATTCCTACTCACACCCATATCAACAGGCAAATCAGTGAATACTCTGAGAGTGCTTAAAAGAGAGCCCTGCAGAGAATGACTATCTGTCTATCCACAGCCCCTCTCATTGGTCATGGTGTGAGCACAGCAATAGCCTCGGCTGTTAGTTGCTGCTGCAGAGGGCTGGGCTTACTCAAGGCACAGACTGACCATTCTCAAAGCTCCTTTCTACTGAAGCAATTCAACAATTGCAGATTATTTCCAGATGCTCCAACCACACAAACCAGGCAAAAAAATTGTCCAGTAACAGAAATAAGAGATAAATCCACAAGTCCCTTCAGCACCTCCCAAAAGAGCAATTTGGAGCCAGCATGTGGTTCAGAGACACTGCTGCTCTTTATTAGCCTCCACCCACCAGCACATGGAATTTTAATATGAGACAAATAATTTTCTTTCACTGAAAGATTATCTTCACCCTCGTACATTCTCATAGTGTACACTACACTCCCCATCACCGCTGCCCAGCAGGCTCTCACCAAGTATAATTACATTTTCCCTGTCCCTTTCACAGACCAGTATGCTGCAACTTTAAGTGAACTAGTTCATGCCAGTTTGTGGATATCTCTGATCAGATGATTTAAGACCAAGCTCTGCAATCATTAGTTGGACCAGTCCTGGAGAAACACCTGTAGATAACTGGTAGCTCAATTGGTGGTGTTAGCAATGGCTGCTTGCTCTGTCCCCTTTCTAGTCTCTCTGAGCATGCTTCTCCTACTCTGTGAATGGAATGGACCCAAGCGCATTGCTCTGTACTAACATTCACAGAGTAGGAGAATCACAAGATCCCACCCTGAAACAGGTAAGAGCAAGAGGCCAAACACCTGAGGTGAGGAGAGATCTATATAAACCGCTACCAAAAAAGAACACTCCACTGCACATATGTCTCCCCCTTTGGAGAGGATAAGAGAACAAACAACACGTGACATATTAGTCCTATTGCTTAATGCACTACTGAAAGGTGTTCATGTGCTGTGGGGCTGAGCATGGCACAAGAACCTGTATAGAATAGAACAGAATATATCAGGTATCTCGTGGTCCTGAAAGGCAGATCATTCCCAGGGCTTTCCTTCTAAGTTAGCTGTTTGCAAACAGTCTTGATTAAATTTGATTAGAACATTCTATTTTTCCATTGGCCAGAGAATAACAAATGGCATGAGAATGCAGAATTGATGATGTGCTTTGTGTGGAGCAAAATAATGTGGTTAATATTTCTCTCCTTTAGGAATTCTTTACATTCCATTGATGTGGACTGAGGTCCATTGTCAGAATGTAGTTGTTCTGGACTCTGCTGAAAATTAAGAACTAGATAACTTTTGAAATTGAAAGTTACTTGTGACCATTTGCCAAAGTAATCAGTTACAGCAATAGTATAATGGCATGTTTGCCACTGGTGCTGTCTCCCGCGGTCCTACTCTATCAGTAGCAACTTGCTCTCATGAGAATCAGGTAAACGAACTATGCAATGGTGTCATGTGATAAAGCTGTTTAGATTTGCATATGGCAAATAATATAGGATATTGTAGCATTCTTGGCTTCAATCAGAGTAGTTTCTGAGTACCTCCCAATAAAGAAACAAAAATAACAATTTTCCTTCCCAGCATTTGGGGGACAGAGCTTGATTAATGTATTTATTTGATTTATTTTGTTGGATTTTATGTGTGTATAAAAATTACTGAAGGAAAGCAAAGGTGAAGAAAGGGGCTTTGCATTTAATGCTGAATGTTGTGAGGCCTGATGTCTCTCATTGTAGGAGATGGCTCCACAGTCTAAGTCCAGCTCCTGTGAAAGTGACATCTTCTGAATTCCTGACCCCTTGCTCTTGGCTGACAGTTTAATTATTCCAATGGGACATAGCTGTCATGGTCATGGAGGGAGCAGCATCTCTCAGTGCCCACATCCTGCTTTGAACATGAGGGCAGAGACCTTGAATGGGGTTCTATGCACTGAGCAGCCAGTGCAGAAGATTGGAGCGCCTCAGTGATGCAATCATAGTGACATGTCTTGCTGAGCAGACAGCTGTTGTTTGGTACCATCTGGGGATTTTTCAGGGTGTCTGGCTTTTCTAATTCTGAAAGGAACTCAGCACAGTAATGGGTATGGTATAAAGACTGGACTAAACTAGAATAGAGAGGCAGAGGACAGTATATGACTATAAGTATCTCTGTATTAGTTGCATATTTTGATCTGTTTCAGAGTAGCAGCCGTGTTAGTCGGTATCCAAAATGTGATTTAGGTGCTTCATTTCTAAAATGGTGTATTAGGCCTTGTGTACACTAGGAGATACTGCCAGTACAGTTACACTGATATAACTAACTGGCAAAACCTTTTAATGTGGATGCAGTTATGTTAATATAAAATTGCTTATACTGATGTAGCCTATGTCATTTCAGATAACTGGCATAGATTATGCCTGTATAACCTTTCTACATTAGAGGGGTTGACAGCATAGCTATGTTGGTAAAAAATCACCCCCTTAACTGTTATAGCT